AACTGGCACCCTGGCCTTCTGAAGCCCTAGGACTTTGGTCTTTGAAATGGAATTAGCTGAGCACAGCTAATACCAACCCTGCTTTTATAACCTTTATTGTTTTTTATTTTTATTTTCCCATTTAACAACATATCATGGACATTTTCCCACTATAACACTTACATATCTACTTTATCTTGTGACTGTATAGTTTTTATTTTACAGATGCACAATAATTAATTTATTATGAGCATTCAGGTAATTTTTCTTGCCTCTAAACAACACAGTAACTATCTTTGTTGCATTTTTATTATTTCCTTTGGCTAAATTCCTTAAAATTGCTGAATCAGAAGGAATATACACTTAAAATGTTAATATATATTACCAAATTACCATATAAAAATTATATCCTACTTAGGGCCCAGTGCACAAATTGGTGCACCTTGAAAGGAATGGTGGGCCGTGAGGGTGCAGTGGCACAGGAGCAGGTCTTGGCCCATCTTCTACACCCCCGCCCAGCCCCTCCCAATGTGGGCCCTAGACCTATCTGCTGGCAGCCTCACTCTTGCCACCACCACTCACACATGCTGATAGCACTGGCCCCACTCACACCTGCTGACAGTGTGGAGCGATTGGGGCCGGCACCAGCAGCAGGTGGGAGAGGGCCAGCTCTGTCAGCATTGCGAGTGGTGGCTGCTGCCCTGATCGCCCCTCAGGAACAGGGGGAGGTGGAGAAGCCCTCAGGGGCAATCAGGCCAGCAGCTGCTTGTACCCACTAATGTTGCCGAGCAATCAGGACTGGAGCCAGGCACCAGCAGTGGGTGTGAGCAGCAGCTCCAGCACCAGCTGCAAGCGTGAGTGGGGCCGGCACCAGCAGCAGATGTAAGTGGCAGCTGCCGGCCCCAATAGCCCCTCAGGAGCAGGGGGATGTGGGGAAGCCCTCAGGGGTGAGCCATCTCAGCTGGTGCTGGGCGCAGGCAGTGGGTGTGAGTGGTGGCTCTGGTGCTGTCAGTGGGTGCGAGTGCAGCTGGGATCATGGTGTGTGGGAACAAAGAATTTTTAGTAACCACCAGAGGCTTACCCCAATGACAGCAACTGGCGCCCCACCTTGGTCTGGTGCTCCTGCTCACCTGCTCCATCATCTCACCACAGCTGACGCCAGCCATATTCTGCACTCTGCCACCTGCTGCCAATGCCCGCCATGTTCTGCACATGCCCCCGATGGTTAGCACGTGTCATAGAGACCGGTTGTTTGGTTGTTCTACCATTTGGTCTATTAGCATATTAGTCTTTTATTATATAGGACAGGCAGTTCTCTCTATGGAGCACATCCTGGCTTTTCTCCACCCCCTCCCGCACTCCCTTCCCTTATCTCCTTTTCCTATTCCCTTCCCCCAGATATGTTTTTCTTGCCTCTCTCTTTCTCCTAAGCTCCAATGGCCTTTCTTTTGCCTCTGTAACTTGTTTCCTGAGCCAAATTTCTTCTACATCTGTGACTTTCTAAATAAACTTTATCTTATAGTTTGAGAAAAAACACACACACAACACAATATATACTATTTGCACTCCCATCCACAGTGTATAATATAGATCCTTTTTATCATACTATCCCAAACACTGCAGTTTTATATTTTAATTTTATCAATCTAATGAAAAAAGTGATTTGTAATGACTCTTTCATCATTAGTGTGTTTCAAGAATCTATTTATAGACATTTTCTTCTCTTGAGAAGTACCTGATAAAAACTACTTTTTTACCAAAATATTTGTCTTTTTCTTATTGATTTTATATCAGTTCTTTTTTATTTTATTTTTATTGATTTCAGATAGTAAGGGAGAGATAGAAACATCAATGATGAGAATCGTTGATTGGCTGCCTCCTGCACACCCCCTACTGGGGATCAAACCTGCAACCCGAGCATGTGCCCTTTACCTGAATTGAACCTGGGGACCCTTCAGTCCACAGGCTGATGCTCTATACATGGAGCCAAACTAGCTAGGACTCTATCAGTTCTTTACAAAGTAATAATTGAACCTTTCAACCATTAAATATTGCAGTCTTTTCCTATTTTGTCATTTGTCTTTTAATCTTGCTTATGCTGACTTGCTGACCAACTTTCACTTTTAGATAGTGAAAACTGTCAATATTTTCCTTTATAACTTCTAACTTTAGCTATAAAGTTAAAAAAGGCTTTCTCATCCTGACCAGGTAGCTCAATTGGTTAGAGTCTCATCACGATACATCAAGATCGCAGATTTGATCCTCAGACAGGACACATACAAGAATCAATTAATGAACTCATAAATAAGTGGAAACAATGAATTGATCCTTCTCTTCCCCTCAAATCAATAAGGCCGAGTGACACACTGTCATGCTGTTGGTCATGTTACTGCCCCATGCGTGCCGCCCCAGCTGGTCTGCGGCCTTGTCCTCTCCTCATGCTCCAGAGAAGATGGCGCTGGTCCAGAGAGGACAGGAACTGAACACCTCTGCAGGGAGAACTTAACTGTTTCTAGTCCAGGCCTCATGGCTCTGGGGTCCCTGCCTAGAGAATGGCTACCTCAAGACTCCCAAATCATATCCCACCTCACACACACACACACACAAAGACTCCCAAGTGCCGTATATGTGTGTTCATCACCATCCAGGCAGGGAACAGTAGTGAGCAGGCTGTGCCACATATAGTTCCTGCCAGGTAATATCCTGCCGGCTTCATTCCACCACCACTTGGGACATGTTAGCTCCTCTGTCCACACCACCACCCCCCCCCCCAGCTACCTATAAATCCAACTGTTTATCCTTCCAGAAAGTTCCTGGCATATGGTAGATAGGATTAAATGTTTGTTGATTAAATGAATCAATCAATCACTTCTACACACTTTTAGCACAGAGTGGCCTCTGTGGGTAATGTGCAATGGAAGGATGTAAAATTGGGAAGTAAAGTACACAGGAGAAATCCACACTGCCATCTGACTTAATCTGTCAGCTTCCTGCTTGTGGTTCTGCCTTGTCTTGCCAGCCCCGCCCAGCCCATAGCACTCCATCCTCTTCCCTTCCACTTTCCAGCCCCAGACTAATGGTTTCCTTTGGCTGCAGCCTCCTTTCCTCCACTTTACTGCAGCATTGTTCTGTGTGACTGTGATTCCTCCCCTAATTATTGTATAATTAGTTTTTATACCCACACCTGGAGTGCTACATAAATGTGTGTGCAACACATGTGGGAGTGTGAGAGAGAAGGGGAGAGAGGGGGCAATCTTGCAGAATCCTCCTCCATTCAGAAGTCCAGCTATCTCTTCTCAATTTGGGGAAGAGTTTCAGCAGCTTCACTGGGTGAGGAGGGGATAGTTCTCCCTCCCCCAGCAGAGTTTGCAACAGTTTATTCTGAATACAGATAATAATCACTACCATTCACCAAGTCCTACTATGTACTGCCAGGCACTTTACATCCATTGTTTCATTTAATCTGTTGACCTTAAAAAAGACAAAGAGGCAGTTATTTTACCAGCAAAATGTATTTTTTCTGAAACAGCAGAGGAATTTCAACTGAGGGCAGGCAAACTATGGCAGAATCATAGGCAAGTCCCAGCTGGGTTTGCTTTTATAGAGGAAAAAAGGAAGTTGGGAGGGGCTATTTTGGACTTACGTTTAGTGGAGTGTGGCAGCTTTTCTTTTTTAAATATATGTTTTTATTGATTTCAGAGAGGAAGAGAGAGATAGAAACTTCGATGAGAGAGAATCACCAATAGGCTGCCTCATGTATGCCCCCTACTGGACATCAAGCCTGCACCCCAGGCTTGTGTCCTTGAAGGGAATCGAACCTGGGACCCTTCAGTCCACATCCGGCACTCTATCTGCTGAACTAACTACCTAGGATTACCACTATGTCATTTTGAGGAAGTCACTAAACCTCTTTGATACTCAATTTACCCCACTTTAAAATAAGGATGAAAATAACAATGTACTGGGCTACTGTGGGGATTAAATGAAATACTTGAGATCAGGACTCATCAATAAAATAAAATTTTTAAAATGATGTCTCCTAACTAATTGGTTGATTAAGGAGTCTTGTCCAGCTTGCTGATTTGATTTGCGATACAAGCCATGCCAGCTGGGTTGTCTTCTCTTTTGATTGTAATGTATAAAACAAGGTGCAAAACTGCTATTCCTTTGAGTTTTCTCTCAAGATGATGCTTCCCACAGGTTGGCTCATATAACTCAAAAATATCTTTACAGGTGTGAAAGTTTCTTACATTGACACATATAAATGCAAGACACCTCAGCCTAAAAAGCAGGCTCTATTTTAAATTTCAAATCTGAAACTTGACAGCTGTGTGACTGTGGGCAAGCTGTTTTACCCTACTGAATCTGTCCAATCTGTAAAATAGACAGCGAATACTTCTCACAGGCTTTAAGTATTCTGGTAATATCAGTTATTCTTACCGAGATGATAATTACATTCCCCCAAAAATTAGAGCTGCAAATTTAAGATTTGTACTTTTTTTTTTTTTTTGGTATGTATACTACCCTATATACTTCAATAATGACTTACAAGAAGATTAAGAACATTCGCCATCCAGGGTTGTTATAAAGATTCGATAAAATCACGCTTATAAAGTCTAGCACAGTGCCTGGCACATAAATGCGTGGTTGGGGTGCCCAGGCCAGCAGGAACCACGGGCTCTCCAGTTCCTGGAGTCTCAGTTTGCCCCACCAGGTACCGGGCTCAGCTTAGTATATTCTGGGAACCCGGCCAACCAGACTGCAATGGAGAATGGAGCGCGCTGGATTAATGAATCCGGGAAGGTGACCTGACACCAGAGGGAAGCGGCACTCTGGACCCTCCTTCCTCCCGCAGGAGTGGGAGCGCGTCGCCGCGGCGCGCGGTGCATCCTGGGCCCGCAGAGGCGCCTGGCCCCGCCCCCGCCTCCCACGTGGCCACCGCGCAGGCTTCCCTCCCCGGCGGCGCCTTCTCCAAACCCGCGCGACCAATTGTGTCCCAGCTTCGGCCAGTCCGACCCTCCGCACCCGGAGGAGCCGATGGTGCGGCCTCCCAGCACTCCACCCCCAAGACCCCCCGCGGGAGGCTGGGGCGGGGCCCACTCCTGATCAGAGGTGCCCAGCCCTCGCCCCTTCTGGGCGGAGCTGGGTCGGACTGGGACCCGGCTCCTGCCTTCCCCTGAGGCGGACTTCCCCTGCAGCCCGCCAATCCCGGAAGCCGAGGCTCCTGGGATCGCTGGCTGTGCCAGGGCTGAGCCGCGATTTACCGCCTTCTTCACGCTCAGCGCTGGTGCGAGGGTGAGTTCTCCTGCGGAGGCCCCATCTTTCCTTACGGAGGAGCTGGCCTGACCCTTCACTCCGGAGTGGAGAGGTTCTGGAGGGGCCAGCCTTGGTTTCAGATGTGAACTCTTCCTCTTACAGCTCGCTGTGTGATCCTGAATAAGTTCTGTTTCTCTGGACCTCTCCATTTTCCACAGCGGTAAAATGAGTTCCTACATCAGAACTGTAGGGAGAATGAAATGAGATAAAGCTTTTTAAAGAGTTCAGCACATAGTAGATGCTCAGTAAGTTTTAGTTGCCATCTTCCATTCTGTTTGCTTACTAACACGATTTCCCCCCCAGGAGATCTGGCCTTTCTATGGAATTGTAGATATGCTTCTCAAAAGGAGCAGGAGGGGTTACAGTTTGCTTGCTGGGCACCTGCTTGGAGTTTGGGAAAGCCAGGGCATGCTTTTTGGTGGCCTGGAAGAATCTGAACCTTCACCAGATAAGGCTGTTATTAACTCTTCCCTTCAGTTTGACCAGACACAGGGCTGCAGGACCTACCTAGGCTGAGTCTTTATGGTTCTGATCAGGCGCCTGTTATTTTCCCCAAGGTCTCAGTTTTTTAGTTTTTTGTTTTTTGTTTTTGTGTGTGTGTGTGTGTGGTTTTGTTTGTTTGCTTGTTTTGTTTTGTGTGTGTGTGTGGTACAGGAGTAATCTCAATAGCATTCTCTCTGGAGCCATTTGGGATTTTATTGGGAAGTGAGGGGCAGAGATAGTAAAATTCTTTGATATTTTCCAGAGGTGATTCCTTTCAGGTTACCCAAGAAGGGAAAGGAAGAAGGCAGTGACTTTCTCAATTACCCAGCTGTCAAGTTGTCTCCCCTTTGCCTCTGTGTGTATGTGTTTAGTGTGTGTGTGTGTGTGTGTGTGTGTGTGTATATATATATATATATATATATATATATATATATATATATATATATATGGATGGGGCGGGCAGTCTAGGAGTGAGGGGATCAGACAGATGACAGGCTCTGACCTCAAGGAGTACCCAAGTTTGTGGGAAGAAACTTATATAAACAGACAACTGCAGCTGTGTGCACCAGCTGTCAGTACATGGAAGGAGCCAGAAGTTTAAAGTGCTAGCCGCAGGATGAGCAGCAATTAGCCAGGTAAGATTGGGACTTGGGGAAGGGAAGTGTGCAGAGGCCTGGAATCAAGTAACTGGTGGCTCACTCTGCAAACTCAGAAACATGGAGTCCGAAAAGAGGAGGAAAAATGAGGGCTGTCGGAGCCAGGTTATGAAGGGTATTCTAAGGAGTCTGGCTGGACTTTGTCCTGGGTAGGAGAGAGCTGCTGGAAGAGTTTGAACCTGGGAGTCACATGGTCAGATGAAGTGAGTGGATTGTGGGGAGAGGGGCCACACTGGAAGCAGAGATCCTTGGTTCAGGTAGGGGTGGTCAGAACTAGAGCAGTGGCAGTAGTGGTAACTATGGATAGACTGGAGAAAGATTTAAAAATGTATTTTTTAAAGGTTTTTTTTTCTCCCCCACATCAAGAAGTATGTGGAGTGTTGTTGTAGTTTTAGGTTTTACATAACAGTTTCGAGCAAATAATATCTTTCTTTATATATACAAATACTAATAGGTTTTTTTTTAACCCAGGCAAATAGACCAAATTTTGGTCACCATTACATATATATGCTGGCTTCTTAGAAGTACAGAAGATATACTCTCTTCCCTGTCACCTATCAAAATCATAATCTGGTAATATTAAAAATACTTCAAATGAACTGAAGTACTTTATTTAGATGGCTTTTAAAGACCCAGTGAATTAGCCGAAACCGGTTTGGCTCAATGGATAGAGCGTTGGCTTGGGGACCAAAAGGTCCCCGGTTCGATTTTGGTCAAGGGCATGTACCTTGGTTGCGGGCATATCCCCAGTAGGGGGTGTGCAAGAGGCAGCTGATCGATGACTCTCTCTCATCGATGTTTCTAACTCTCTATCTCTCTCCCTTCCTCTCTGTCCAAAATCAATAAAATATATTTTTTAAAAAATTAAAAAAAATAAAGACCCAGTGAATTAAATGAGATAAAGGTTTTAAAGAGTTTGGTATATGCCCTGACCAATTTGGCTCAGTGGATAGAGCATCAGCCTATGGATTCAAGGGTTCCAGGTTCGATTCCAGTCAAGGGCATGTGTCTTGGTTGCGGGCACATCCCCATTGGGGGTGTACAGGAGGAAGCTGATCCATGTTTCTCTCTATCTCTCTCCCTTCCTCTCTGTAAAAAACCAATAAAATATATTATTTAAAAAAAGAAGTAAAATTAAGCCCTAACCAGTTTGGCTCAGTGGCTAGGGTGTTGGCCTGCAGACTGAAGGGTCCCAGGTTTGATTCCGATCAAGAGCATGTACCTTGGTTGCAGGCATATCCTCAGTAGGGGGTGAGCAGGAGGCAGCTGGTTGATGTTTCTAACTCTCTGTACCTCTCCCTTCCTTTCTGTAAAAAAATCAATAAAATATATATATATATATATATATATATATATTATTTTTTTTTTAAAGAGTTTGGTGTACATATTAGATGCTCAGTAAATTTTAATTGCCATCTTCCATTTTGTTTGCTCACTAACACGATTTTTTCCAGGAGATCTAGCCTTTCTATGAAATTGTAGACATGCTTCTCAAAAGTAGCATGTTTTCTGGTTTGTTTTCTCACTAGGGCCCTGAGTCCCTGTTGAGAAAAAAATACACAAAAAGATCATAGGTAAGGCACTTTGTAAAGTGCTTTAGATATAGTATCTCTTCACAAGATGGGGCTGAAATTCAAACCCAGGTCTGTGGAACCCCAGACCTTGAATTGCTTCCTCTGTTCTCTGCTGCTGGATGTGACAAGTACAGTTTGGGCATGTTGAGTCTCAGATACCTGTAGGACACACCTGTGGCGATGAACAGAGGGAATTGAATATACAGAACTAGGGTGGGGAAAATGAGTACTTAAGTTGATAGGTGAAGACATGAGAAGAAGATTGAGGACAGAATCTCGAGGTACACCAACATTGATGGGAGGCTGAGGAAAGGCCCATAAATGGAACACTCATCCAAATGCTGCTTCCTCTTTTCCCTGTGTTTTCTAGGTCCCCACATCCAGCCAGCAACTGTAGAGCCCTCCTTTGAGAAGAGAAGACTGAACCCCAGTGTGAAAGAACGTAAGTTCCAATAAAACCTGACTTCCGATGCTACCACCCTCTTCCACATCTCCTCATGCATTCACAGCTTTTTCTCTTACATTTAGAACCTCTCCCAATATAACATGAGGGTTTCTGAGTGCTGCCGAGGTCCAGTGAGGCAATTCCTGGCAAGCTCAGAGCCTGTTAATACAGGGCTAGGCTGGAAAGCTATTGCCTCAGGCAGAAGATGAGGAAGTCAAGAACTGGAAGAGGACGACATCCGGTCCTAGAGAAAAACATCTTTCTTCTGCTGGCGCCTCTCCGCTTACTTCTTTGTAGCTCTTGCTCTTTGCAGATCTTTGTTAGGTCTTCGTGCCTCCATGATCTCCCTCCACTACACTCCCGAGCCTCTCAGGCCTTTTGGTTTTCAGTTTCACCAACAGAAGAAAGGGAGAAACAAGCATCAAGTTTCTTCTTCCTTTTACCCTTATGCATGGATTTTGTTCAAGCTCTCAGCCCAGTTGTAATTTCAGAGCCCTCCCCTGTGTGCTGGGAAATCTTAGCGAGGCCACCAGGTCATTTGTTTGGGGATCAAGCCCAGGAAATCAGCCACAGACTGATGTTAAATGGAAAGATAGTTCCTCCAGACATACTTGCCTGATCCCTGGAAAGTTTGGTATCAGAGAATTGCTCTCAGCAATCTTTGGTTTGCTTCCCAGATTGACCGTTTTTGTTTTAGCAGAAAGAAGTGCTGGTCTCCAGACTGCTCCCCGGAACCGGTGGTGGTGGGAGCTGCTTCCCCGCCGGGCCCCGTGGGGGCGGACCCCGTCCAGCAGCGGCGGGAGGCCGGAGCGGCGGGGGTGAACTCCGTCCGGAAGCCCCGGGTTCGCGGTCATGGCTCTGTCTGCTGGCGTCCTGCTCCGCGGTCGCCTGGGCCAAATGGGGGCGCTGGGAGCGGCCGGGCTCTCGTTCGGGGCCTTTCGGAGCAGTGGCACGAGGGCCAGCAGAGAGAAGAGATTCCATCTTCCAGAGGTCACCACTGTCTGCCTCCCCACGTGTCCCCATCCTCAGTCATCATTTTTTTAATGTATAGTGACACATTAGTTATCTAGGTCTTCATAGTGACTGTGGTCTAAATCTGACTTCATTCCCATTGACTTAAAATTTGAACCTTAGTGTTGTTATTTTTTTTTTAATATATTTTTTATTGATTTTATACAGAGAGGAAGGGAGAGAGAGAGAGAGTTAGAAACATCGATGAGAGAGAGTCATCGATCAGCTGCCTCTTGCACACCCCCTACTGGGGATATGCCCTCAACCAAGGTACATGCCCTTGACCGGAATCGAACCCGGGAGGATGCTCTCTCCATTGAGCCAAACCGGTCCCGGCCTTAGTGTTGTTCTTACTGAAAATTGTCTTTGAGTGTGATAAACTCTCCACTGAAAGATATTTACTGTTTGAAGTTAACAGATTTTAGTGTCAATTTCTGAGTTATATAAAGCCTTAAATGAAAGATGAAATTTTTTTAAATGTTTTTGAATAATTAGATACCTTCAATAATGGATATGTAAATATGGCTTTAGTGGAGGGTTGTTTTTTTTTTAATTTTTAGTATATATTTTATTTATCTTAAGGCATTTTCTAATAAGACTCCCTGATTCTTTATTCAACTATGTTGAGTATACTGATGAACCTATAAAAGGAATTATTCATTGCTGTTAAAAAAAAAAAAAATAGTGGTCTCCAAAACTGGTTGTGCTAGACGGTCTGTAAAATTCTTCCCGAGGCAGAAGTATTAGGAAAGACAATTTTGGTGTGTAGGTTGTACACACAACTTCCCTTATTACCTGCTTTACCGTAATCTTTTTTAAAAACAAATGTTTTTATTGCCCTTGCTGGTTTGGCTCAGTGGATAGAACGTCAGCCTGTGGACTAAAGGGTCCTAGGTTTGATTCTGGTCAAGGGTACATGCCAGCGTTGTGGGCTCAATCCCCAGTAGGAGATGTACAGGAGGCAGCCAATCAATGATTCTCTCTCATTGATGTTTCTCTCTCTCTCCCCTTTTCCTTCCTCTCTGAAATCAATAAAAATATAGTTTAAAATGACCACTTAAGTTGACACATTTCAATTTAAAATATTGTAAACAAGAATCTTAAAAGTTAACTGATATAAGCTCATACAAAGAAGAAATTTTACACTTATAGAGAAGTGCCTATATTTTAATTTTTTTCTTGCTTTTTAAAAATTTTTTATTGATATCAGAGAGGAAGGGAGAAAGAGAGAGAGATAGAAACATCTATGATGAGAGAATAATCGATTTGCTGCCTCCTGCACGCCCCCTACCAGCCTGCAACCTGGGCGTGTGCCCCGAACAAAAATTGAACTAGGGAACTCTTGGTTCATGGGTCAACACTTAACCTCCAAGCCACACCAGCTGGGCAATGATAATATTCTTGATGTCCTTTCAGAACTTGGAAACGAAGGTTATATTTAAAAGGTATTGCTGACAATGAAATCAATCCTGAGAGAGTGATACTTGTAGTACTGATGAGTTCAAATGAGAAGCTTTCTACCTTACTTACTTTGGGAGTGAGCATTCTTTCTCCTTCCCCTTTCACTTGGATAACTCCTGTTCATTAAGACTTGACTCAGCACCTCCAAGAAGCCATCCTGGCCAGCGCACTCTTTTTTTTTTACAGCACTTGTGCAGATTTTGGTCATATTTCGGATATAATGCACCCATATCGTCTGCCCTCTACCAGACCATAAGCTCTTAGAGGGCAGTGACTCTTATTTGAATATCTGAGTCTAGCACAAGGCCCAGAATATTCATCATTTGCTGACTGAATGAGTATTCCTCCTAGAGCCATGTGGAAACTTCTAATTTTCAAAGCTCTCAAAAGAGTTTGCTCCAATCACCCACCTGCTTTTATTCAGTTGGAAATTTTAAAGAAAATATATTTTTTAAGAGAAGAAGGGAGAGGGATAGAGAGGTAGAAACATCGATCAACTGCCCTCTGCATACCTCTCACTGTCTCCATGACTGGAATCGAACCCAGGTCCCTTCAGTCCACAGGCCAATGCTCTATCCTCGGGTTAGGGCTGGAAATTTTCTTGCATTTGAAATTTCTTGCTGTTGGCTACACTGAATTACACAGTAATTCACCTTACTGGAAAGACTTTCCCTTGACTCCAGGGAAAATCAAACTCATTGTTAAAAGCCAATGTCAATATTCCCTGGTTCTTGCTCTACAGGAGTTACTTGCTTTCTGCAGCACATTGTATGTATGTTGTCTACTGTCAACATATATATTTTATAGGTCTGTGTTTACCTGCCTTTTTTCATTAGTTCTTGGATCCTTGGCTCTGCCAGCTTAGCTGTTGATTTGGGGCAAATAACTTGATCTCTCTATGCCTGTTTCTTCATCTACAAAATATTATACTTGCGAGTGCCCACTCAGGCCTAGCAGCATGGTGTATCAGACCTCTGAGAGGAACTCAGAGTCTCTGTAGTTCTGACAAACTCCTGGGAATGTTCATTTCAACCTCAGAGAAGTAACCCTTTCCTGAGCCTATTCTGTCGCCCTGTCTCACATTTACTCCTAATGGTCTTTGCCTGTCTTACTGGCTTGGGACCTTATGTAGTCAAGACTAGGCACTTCTGGGGAGGCACCTGCCTTTGTTTTTAGGTATTAGAGCTCTTTAACACAGACCTTTAGCCGGGGAAAGGAAGGGCAGCCAGGCTGGTGGTCTGGTTAATGTTTGTCCAGGAGCTACTGACTTTGGTTGCTTCTGGGCATATGCACACAATCACAAGTTTGTTCTCATCACCTCTGTGCCTTGTCACCCACGATTGACTGGAGTCTTGAAGCCCAAGCAGCACTGATCCCCACAGCATTCTCTTCCCATTTCTGTTTCAGGAGGCAATGGCAGCTTCCAGTCTCCTCCTGCACACTGGGCAGAAGATGCCCCTGATTGGACTGGGCACCTGGAAGAGCAATCCTGGCCAGGTGAGGGATGGGGCAAGGGGAGGAGGGCTTCTTGTACCGCTGCTAGGGAAAAGGCAGTATTTGGGAGAGAGTCCCTGCATTTTCCCTAGCAGCCCCATCCCTGTACTCCACTTACAGTGGGATGAGGCTGGAGGGCAGTGGGAAAAACAAGTGAACAAGGGCCTGGTAACATGTCCTTAGCCTACCCAGCTGACTCAGAGGAGGGGCTGAGAAGGTCAGCAGGGCAAAGGTCATAGGAAAGAACCCTTTCCCTAACTGGATCGACACTGAATCCTTTGAAAGATGTGGGACCCCTCTGTATCTAACCCATTGCTGACCCCTAATATGTCATCACCCTGTGCTGTGAACTGATCATCACTGGGCTCGTTGAGAGTTGGGCCTGTCTCATTCCAGAGATAGTCACACAGAAGGTATCAGTCAGAGTTTAAAGAATAACTAGATCAAGACCAAGGGTTAACAAACTGTTTTTGTTAATCCTCACCTGAGGATATATATTTTTTAAAATATATTTTTATTGATTTCAGAGAGGGAGAGAGAGCTAGAAACATCAATGATGAGAGAGAATCACCAATCGGCTGCCTCCTGCATGCCCATACACTGGGGATTGAACCCACAACCTCGGCATGTGCTCTTGGCCGGAATTGAACCTGGGACCTTTCAGTCTTCAGGCTGATGTTCTATCCACTGAAACAACCCTGCTAGGGATATTTTTCCATTGATTTTCAGAGAGAAGGTGGGAGGGGAAGACATAGAGAAAAACATCAATGTGAGAGAGACACATCAATTGGTTTCCTCCTACATGCAACCCTACCAAGGCTGGGGAGCTAAACTGGCTAGGGTGCAAACTTTTTCTTTAAAAAAGAAAAATATATAGCTGAAGCCGGTTTGGCTCAGTGGATAGAGCGTTGATCTGCGGACTGAGGGGTCCTGGGTTTGATTCTGGTCAAGGGCATGTACCTTGGTTGTGGGCACATCCCAAGTAGGGGGTGTGCAAGAGGCAGCTGATCGTAATTCTCTCTCATTGATGTTTCTAACTCTATCCCTCTCTCTTCCTCTCTGTAAAAAATCAATAAAATATATATTTAAAAAATATTTATTTATTACTGATTTCAGAGAGTCAGGTGGTTAACAATTTAGATATTGCTGGACAGATTGCAAAATGGAGGTGATTATGTACTTATGTGACCATTTAAAAATATAAAAACAGTTCATAGCTCAGGGCTGAAAAATACCAAAAGGCAGCTATGAGCTGGAGTTTATTGACCCCTGATGTAAACCCTTCCAGCCTGGGGGTCCTGGGAATGGAGACCCACTTTCCTAGGATCGAAAGCTAGAAATTCAGCACCCACCTAGTGTTGGGCTTCTCCCCAGCGCTATGCCATTGTTCCTTGGGCATCTGAATCAGAGTTTGGAGAAGTTTGGGGATTAAGTTTGGGAGGGGCTCAGGCAGCGAGAACAGCCTCTTTGTGGGATTTTGGCTAGTGTTTGTGGTGTGGTTGGATGACTGCCTTTTTCCCCTTTGATTTCCTTCCTACAGCTGCCTAGGACTGCGGAGCTGGGGTCTTTGTGCTCCAGGCAGGCACTGAAATGGCAGGACAAGTCCAGTAGCTAGATGAAGGCAAGGGGTGGAGGTCAGAGACAGGGCCAACAAGGAGGCGGGCAGAATGAAGCAGCAGGGGTAGGGACAGGGGCTGGGGAATATGTCTGAGTAGTAAGAGCTGCACCCAGATGGGAATCTGAATGCCAAGGGCGTGGCATCTGTTTCTGCCTCTGATGCCATTTTTCTAGTCAAGTTTTTAGCAAGCCAAAACAGGTTTGGCTCAGATAGGGCTTCTGCCTGTGGACTGAAAGGTCCCAGTTTGATTCCGGTCAAGGACATGTACCTTGGTTGCGGGCACATCCCTGGTGGGGGGTGTGCAGGAGGCACCTGGTCAATGTCTCTCTCATCAGTGTTTCTGGCTCTCAATCCCTCTCCCTTCCTCTCTGTAAGAAATCAATAAAATATATATTTTTTAAAAAGTTTTTAGCAAATTGCCGGGACCGGTTTGGCTCAGTGGATAGAGCGTCGGCCTGCGGACTGAAAGGTCCCGGGTTCGATTCCGGTCAAGGGCATGTACCTTGGTTGCGGGTACATCCCTAGTAGGGAGTGTGCAAGAGGCAGCTGATCGATGATTCTCTCGCATCGATGTTTCTAACTCTCTATCCCTCTCTCTTCCTCTCTGTGAAAAATCAATAAAAATATATTTAAAAAAAAGTTTTTAGCAAATTAACTGAACCTGGCTTCCTACTTGATATCTGCTTTTTTTCTCTTCTAAAAGGAGGCTCTGGGCCTAGCTTCCATCTCACGTCTTTATTTCCTTAATTTTCTTCCCCCTCACCTCGTTTGCTTGCCTGATTCCCCCAGAGTGTGCTTGGTTATATGGTTCCCTGAGGGTCTCTCTCACAATGGCCTTGGCCAAGGCATATATACCTGTGAATCGTGTTTCCCTAACCAGTTCCTCAGGGTAGGGAACCTGCCTCCATAACCTATACTTTTTTAAAATTAATTTTTTACAGAGAGGAAGGGACGAAGATAAAGACTTAGAAACATCGATGAGAGAGAAACACTGATCAGCTGCCTCCTGCATACCCCCCACTGGGGATGTGCCCGCAACCAAGGCACATGCCCTTGACCGGAACTGAACCCGGGCCCCCCCCCAACCAGCCCGCAGACCGATGCTCTATCCACTGAGCCAAACCGGCTTCCGCATGACCTATACTTCTGCCCTCGGTCAATGTATTCGTCTTCCGAGCTTGTAGCTGGGAACACGTTGTTAGTTTTCTGCTGGGCACTGCTGAGATTGTTGGGTAGGAAGGAGCCTTGGAGGTTAGTGGGATGGGGACAAAGGGATTGTTGTTTCTGGTCCCTTCCCCTAGACTAGAACCATCTTCCATCGTCTCTCCCCCACTGCATGGGTGACTGCAGTGGTATGTTCCTGCCTCCTCCTGCCACCAGTGACCCTCCATAGGGCAGCTTCTGGCCCAGGCCAACAGCTGAATCCCTCTGCTTCTGTCACCTGGCAGGTAAAAGCAGCTGTGAAGCATGCCCTGAGTGTGGGCTACCGCCACATTGATTGTGCTGCCATCTACGGCAACGAGACTGAAATCGGGGAAGCCTTGAAGGAGACTGTGGGGCCCGGCAAGGTGAGGACTGGGGCTGCCTAGGGATGGGATGAGAGATCTAAGAGGCAGGGGGTTAGGGGAGGATTGGGGCCTGGCTGGAGGGGTCTGGCATCAGCTCCCTTCTAATTCCTCTCCCAGAGGTGAGGGGGGTAAGACTGGATGCCCATTGGCTCTTCTCATTATGGGCCCTGCCCCCTGCACCAGGCGCTGTCCCGGGAGGAGCTGTTTGTGACTTCCAAGCTGTGGAACACTAAGCACCACCCCGAGGATGTGGAGCCTGCCCTCCGGAAGACACTGGCCGACCTCCAGCTGGAGTATTTGGACCTGTACCTGATACACTGGCCTTATGCCTTTGAGTGAGCTTTGCCAGTGTCTTTATCCAGGGAATTAGAGGGTGGGGGAGTCAGTCGTGTTAGTAACTTACCGTAAGTCACAGGAGCGGAGCAGGATAGGAACACTGTCTGTGTGGCAAGCTGAGGAACTTGGCATGGGAACTCGGCCCTTTCTGTTATAGCAGCCAGGAGTGTAGCTACAGAAAAAGAAGTGCGCTTCACGTGGGTTCTATCTTAGGGTGTGAACGTAGTGGTTCTACTGCTCCTGTATTCGTTCAGGTAAGCTACTAGCTTCTGCTGAACCAGGCCCAGGTTGAAGTAAATAATAAGTTCTAGCTGAAACTGGTTTGACTCAATGGATAGGGCTTCTGCCTGTGGACTGAAAGGTGCGGGCACATCCCCAGTAGGGGTTTTGCAGGAGGCAGCTGACAAATGTTTCTCTCTCATCGATGTTTCTAGCTTCTGTTCCTCTCTTCCTCTCTGTAAAAAAAATCAATAAAATATATATTTTAAAAAATAATAATAATAAATTCTAGCCGAGGGTGTGAGAGGAGCCTACCTTCTGCTCTGGGCCCTGTGCCAGAAGAAGGCTGCAAGAGCATGTAACTCTTTGAGAAGGAAGGCAATACAGAAGGAAGCCTTCCCAGAGAAGAGGAGGTATAATCTGCCCCTGGGAAGAAGAGGAGGGGAAAAGGCCATTCCATATACTAAACACCTGGGTCATGATCTGGAAGGGTGTAAAGCCATGCTTGTTTCTCAGTCTTGGACCTTTCCCCTTTCGGGGCTTGGAGTTTAGGACATAGAGTGGCTGGGTGGGCAGGTAAGGCAGAAGCCTAGCATTTGTCCCCAGTCTTGAGAGGCTGTCTTTCACTCAGGCGGGGAGATGACCCTTTCCCTAAGAATGCTGATGGGACTGTCCGCTATGACTTCATTGACTACAAGGAGACCTGGAAGGCTCTGGAGGCACTGGTGGCTAAGGGGCTGGTGCGGGCGCTGGGCCTGTCCAACTTCAGCAGTCGGCAGATTGATGATCTTCTCAGTGTGGCCTCTGTGCGCCCAGCTGTCCTGCAGGTGAGCACAGCATAGCAGGTCAGTTGTTTGGGGGTGAGGTGTATGTGCAAGAGCATGAGTGAGCAGATGATGGGTCTACTTCATGGAGATGGCTAGCAAGTTGTCAGAAATGTTGGTGTAGACTTCCTCTACATAAAGAAGGACATCGAAGTGTGGGACAAGAATGAAATGGACAGTGGGAAACAGTGATAAGAGGATTGAAGGGCCCGGTGTGCGTGGCTCAGTGATTGAGCATCGATCTATGAACCAGGAGGTCATGGTTCACTTCCTGGTCAGGGCACATGCCCAGGTTATGGGCTCCATTCTCAGTGTGGGGCATGCAGGAGGCAGCCGTTCCATGACTCTCATCATGAATGTTTCTCTCCCACCCCCTTCCTCTCTCTAAAATCAATAAAAACATATGTATATTAAGAAAAATGAAAAGTTCTTAAGGGAAGTAGGGTGGGGTCAGCAGGTTGGTCCGGATGGCACAGCTAGGCAAGCTGGATGTTGCCACCCCGTGGTGATGGGTTATTTCTTGGCTCAGGTGGAATGCCACCCATATCTGGCTCAGCACGAGCTGATTGCTCACTGCCAAGCACGCGGCCTGGAGGTGACTGCTTACAGCCCTCTGGGCTCCTCTGATCGTGCGTGGCGTGATCCTAAGGAGCCTGTCCTGCTTGAGGATCCAGTGGTCCTGGCACTGGCTAAAAAGTATGGCCGGTCTCCAGCCCAGATCTTGCTCAGGTGAGGGCAATCTTGGGGAAAGAAGGCTAGATCAGAGAAAGGGCTCTTGGGGTGGGAGGTAAGGGTTTAGGGGTTCCTTATCCAAGTGCCTGGATGAGGCTAAGACTCTTGCCATGTGATCTGGGAGAGGCCACTCTGAATCATGCTACCCATTCCAGGGGGGGCTCAGGAGCGTAAAGAAAAGGCTGTATGGAAGACAAGACAATGCTTATGAGTACTGACTCCTCTTTCTCGTCTACCTTAATCCCCCACCGCAGGTGGCAGGTCCAACGAAAAGTGATCTGCATCCCTAAGAGTGTCACGCCTTCCCGGATCCTTGAGAACATCCAGGTACTTGGCGATGGGTCCTGTCTTTAGGCCATTGGGACACAATCTGGCCCCAACTCTGCCAGGCTAAGAAGACAGTGTTCTAGAGCCCCGACTTTCACTCACAAAGCTGGCTTTCCTGACCTCTTCTACCCATCCCCAGGTTTTTGACTTCACCTTTACTCCAGAAGAGATGAAGCAGCTGGATTCCCTGAATAAAAATTGGCGATACATCGTGCCCATGCTTACAGTGAGTATATTTCACACCCCCAGAGTCGGTGAATGTTAGATTTGGATTCTGACCCAAGCCTGGCCTCAATATTGCTTATCAGAGAGAGGAAGAATGGTGTTGTTGGTAGGATTTCTGCCCTGGACATAATGGGCTCTTTTTATTCAGGGAGGAAATAGTGGATCAGGGATAAGAAGTATAACAAGTAAGTCCCAGTCTTACTTTCCTATATCTTGTAAGCTAGATGTTATTTAACTTCTCCAAGCCTAAGCTTCCTATTTTTAAAATGATTCTAGTTCCTGACATATAGAAAAATCTTAGTAAATGATATAAATGAGGGGAGCCTAGAAGGCATTCTCAGCCTTCTCAGAGGGGTTGAAGTTGGGTTGCAGCCTACTGTACATAAGGAAATAACTAGTTCCTTCCCAGCTGAGACTGCAAACTTTATGTTCCAGGCTATGGGATTGCTGTTGACCCTGTTGCATTCTATGAGGCTGGGGCCTTGTTGTTGCCATTTGGCATCACGCTGTACACAAGGGAGGCTCAGGAAGTTTTGGGAAATGATGCCCTGCGTCATTGAAATATTAACCTCTAATAAGGTCATGTGTCTGTCTCTTTTCCAGGTGGATGGGAAGAAGGTCCCAAGAGACGCAGGACACCCTCTGTACCCCTTTAATGACCCGTACTGAAACCACAGCTTCCTTTCCATCTCTCCAGCTGTGAGGCACTGCCACCCCCAGGAAGATTTAATAAACCCATTGAAACATCTACACTGCTCATTGTGTTGTTTGGCTGGTAGGGCCTGGGATGGAACCGTTTCCCTTGGGGATACTGGGTACTACCTTCCCGGAGCCCAAATTCCCTTATCATTCTTCATTCTGGAGGAATCAAAATGGAGCTGAATTCAATTTGTGCTTTTCTGAACTGGTCCGCCATCTACTGGCAGCTCTGAGCACCACATGCTGCTACCCCATGGCCCCCAGCTTTCTTACTGAGAATCCATAAAATTGGTCACCTCAGTATTGGTAACAAGGCAGGGAGAGTTCTGTGCATTGCTGAGCCTGATCTTGAGTTCCCACCTCATTCCCTACTTGGCCAGTGCCGAGGCTTAGGAATATGAAGAGCCTACTTAACAGCTTGCAAAATCATGGAAAGGTGTTTGGGCTTTTTCTGTCACACAGAACAATCTGTATGCATAGGCGATCAAAGGGGGCAGAGTCAGCCCCAAAGCTTGTCACTATGCACCTAATGTCCTATTGTACGTACTTAATAGTCCCATTAAAGGGCACTGAAATTTTTTGGAGGCTTTTGTGAAAATCCCTGTAGCCCTAGCTAGTTTGGCTCAGTGCATATAGCCTTGGCCTGTGGATTGAAGGGTCCCAGGTTCGATTCCAGTCAAGGGCATGTATCTTAGTTGCAGACTTGATCTGCAATTGGGGCATGCAGGAGGCAAATGATTGATGTTTCTCTCTTATCAATGATTTTATGACTATCCCTCTCCCCCCCTCTCTAAAATAAAAATATATTTAAAGTTCTAGCTGGTTTTGCTTAGTAGATAGAGCATTGGCCTGTGGACTGAAGAGTCCCAGGTTCGATTCCAGTCAAGGGCACATGCCTGGTTTGTGCACTTGATCCCCAGTAGGGGCTGTGCAGGAAGCAGCTGATCAATGATTCTCATCATTGGTGTTTCTCTCCCTCTCCCTTCCTTTCTGAAATCAATTAAAATATATATATTAAAAAGAAAAGAAAATCTCTATAAACTCGTCACACAAAACTCAGTTTGTTTGTTTTTCTTTTTTCTTTTTCTTTTTACAAAACTCATTTTTACAACTCTGCTCTTCACTGAATAATTATTGGGTACTTATGTGGTTTAGGCACAATGCTAGACCCTGGGGATATAGCTATAACCAAGACACATAGGTCCCTGTAGTCTACTTCAGAAAAGACTAAAGTAATTGCATAATTAGTTTAATTACAGTTGGAAGAAGTGCTGCACAGTAATACAGTGAGAAGCCTATCTATCAACTGAGATCTGAAGGATGAATAGGGATTAATTAGTTAAATGAGGTGAGAGTAGGAATAGTGTTCTGTGCAAATTGGGTAGCTTGAGGGAAAGGCCTTGAAACTGGAAGAAGTGGGAAAACCTAAAGAAGGCTTGTGTGAAAGAAACTGAAGGTGAGCAAAGGTAGAATGACACAAAGTAATTCTGGAATTAGGCAGAGGCTGGTGACTGAGGTCATAGGAGAGTGGATTAAGATGTGTTTGGGCCGAAACCAGTTTGGCTCAGTGGCTAGAGTGTTGGTCTGCGGACTGAAAGGTCCCAGGTTCGATTCCGGTCAAGGGCACCTGTATTGGTTGCGGGCACATCCCCAGTAAGGGGTGTGTAGGAGGCAGCTGGTCCATGTTTCTCTCTCATCAGTTTCTAGCTCTCTATCCCTCTCCCTTCCTCTCTGTAAAAAAATCAATAAAATATATTTTAAAAAGAAACAACCCTGGTGCGGTGGATAAGGAAATGGAGGGAGATGCATTAGAAGTTAGTCTTTTGTCTCTGGACCTTTCTATCTACAATATTGTACTCCTTGGCCCATTCTATGGGCTAATACCTATTACTTAAATGTTCAGTTTAGCTGTCACTTCTCTAGGACATCTTTCCTGACCTCACCCTACCCAGATAGCTTACTGTGTGACACCATGGCTCCCTCACACTCTCATGATCCACATGTCCATGGTTATGAGGTAAACTATGATGTGTGTTAGTTTGTTGGGCTGCTAGAACAGTGCTACAGAATGGCTTAAACAACAAATTTATTTTCACACAGTTCTGGAAGCTAGAAGTGGAAGATAAGTTATTAGCTGACTTGATTGCTTCTGAGGGACATGAGGGAAGGAAATGTTCTAGGCCTCTCTCTATTTCGCTTGTAGATGGCCATCTTCTCCCTGTCTTTACATGGTCTTCTCTGTGTATGCATCTGATAAGAACACTGGAATAGGGCCCACTCCAAATACAATCACATTCTGAGGACTAGCATATAAATTGACAAGGGAAGGAAAACTCAGCTCATATAAGGAAGCAAAAATTATAACATGATGCCATACTGGTATGGCTCAGTGGTTGAGAGTCAACCCAGGAACCAAGAGGTCGCCAGTTCGATTCCTGGTCAGGGCACATGTCTGGGTTGCAGGCTTGATCACTAACTAGTATGGGGCATGCAGGAGGCAGTTGATCAATGATTCTCTTCAATGATGTTTCTATCTCTATCCCTCTCCCTTTCTCTAAAAATCAATTAAGATATATTTTAATAAAGTTATAGGAAATTATTCATTCGCCCTGGCTGGTGCTGCTCAGTGATTAGATTGTTCACCCATCTAACTGAAGGATCTTAGATTTCTATTTCGGGAAAGAGCATGCACTTGAGTTGCAAGTTCAATTGCAGTCCTGGTCAGGGCACGTGCAGCATATGACTGATGTGTCTCTCTCATATTGATGTTTTTTCTTTGTCTCCTTTCCTCCCTCCCTTCTAAAAAGAAATGAAAAAATACCCTTAGATGAGGATTTTTAAAAATTCACTAATAAACTGACTACTTAAAATTGGTTTTTGATTCAGATATCTCATCTTGATTAATAGCATTGCTCTATAGACATCTTTGTCTAATCATTGGACTGTACAGTGCACATTCACTACAAAGTGAAATTGCAGATCTTAAAAAAAAGAAGCAATTATGAAGCAATTAAAATGTGATGTTGTTGTAAAAAAAAAAAAAAGTGATGTTGTTGATCAGCTGCCTCCTGCATGCCCCCTTCTAAGTTTTGGAGCCCACATCCTGGGCATGTGCCCTTGACCAGAATCGAACCTGGGACCCTTCAGTCTGAAGGCTGAGATTCTATCCACTGAGCAAAACCGGCTAGGGTTGGTTTCTGCTTTTAATGGACTTTTGATTGCATCAGATTTGCAGAACTGGGAAGATTTGTTGGTGTGACTATTGTTTTTGATGGAGAAAAGTCTTACTCTCTTCAGCAAGATGGAACTTTGCATATAAATAGTGCTTCCTTGCTAAGAAAACCTCTCCACTTGTGGCTATGGGCAGAAGGCTGTTAGTCCTGCTTTGCAGATACAGGTTGTGGGTTTGTTGTATGCCAGCACTAAATTATTTTCTAGTTTTTTTTGTACAATGTACCATTGTAATCTGTCTTCATTATTTTATCCAAAATAAACTTTTAGTTAAAAAAAATAAAATAAAATAAAAAATAAAAAAATAAAATGTGATGTTGGGGAAGTTACTTCACCAAAGCCATTGCAAAGTGAGGATCTGAAAGTTAAACTTAAGAAAATGGAAGAGAAAAATGCTAGACTTCAAAGGAAGGTGTTTGGAATATCCAAGTATTAAGAAAAGTCTTTGAGAAAACTAAGAGTATTTTTGAAAAAAGGATTTTTATTGTTTTTGAATAAAAGACCACAGGCTCAGAATTTTAAAATGAGACCTGTCTTTATAAGACCACATTCCAGAATGAAGAGAGTACTCACCAGCCAGAGGCTAGCACCACCACTTTCCAGTTCATTACATCAAAATTCTTTATACACAAGTGCAATCTAAGACCACTTTTGTAGCCAGGCATGTGCCCTGATGAGAATCGAACCTTGATGTCCTGCTTCAAAGGCCCACACTCAACCACTGAGCCACACCAGCCAGCCAGGCACATTTTATCTTTTTAAAAATATTTTTTATTGATTTTTAGAGAGAGAGGAAGGGAGAGGCAAAGAGTATTCATGTGAAAGGATATTTTGCTTTCCAAAATATCCATGGGCTGCTTCCTACATGACTCCAACCTTGTGATCCAGCCTGCAACCTGGGCATGTGCCCTAATCTGGAATATAACCGGTAAACTGGTAATCTTTTAGGAAGATTAGCCCAAATCCAACCAACCACACCGGCCAAGGCTAATTTTGTAAAATTTTTCTTTTTGTGCGTGTTTTTTTTCCCCCCAATTATTATTTGAAGGGCTATTTTTTTCCTTTTATTTATTTATTTATTTATTTATTTTTAATATATTTTATTGATTTTTCACAGAGAGGAAGGGAGAGAGGGAGAGAGCCAGAAACGTCGATGAGAGAGAAACATTGACCAGCTGCCTCTTGCACACCCCCTACTGGGGATGTGCCCGCAACCAAGGTACATGCCTTTGACCGGAATCAGACCTGGGACCTTTCAGTCTGCAGACCGACGCTCTACCACTGAGCCAAACCGGCTTCGGCCTATTTTTTTTATTTTAAAATGGCTTTTAGAGAGAGGAAGAGAGAGGAGAGAAAGAAAGAAAAGAGAGAGAGAGAGAGAGAGAGAGAGAGAGAGAGAGAGAGAGAGAGAGAGAGAGAGAGATAGAAAGTGGAGGACCATCAGCTGGCTGGCCCCTGCACATGCTGAGAGAGAGAGAGAGAGAGAGAGAGAAAGGATGGACCCCCTGCACACACCCTGGCCAGGGATTGGACCCTCCTCAGCCCAGGTATGTCCCCTGACCAGGATGGATCCCACCACCTTCTGCTGTACCTGATGGATGTTCCAACCAACTGACTCACACTGGCATAGACTACATTTAATCTTAAAAGGTTACATGATTTGGCTCAGTCCATCCAGGTAATAACAGAAGAGCCCATGTCTCTTTGCCACAGGAACTGACATTTTAAAAAATATATATATATTATTGATTTTGTACAGAGAGGAAGGGAGAGAGATAGAGAGTTAGAAACATCGATGAGAAAGAGTCATCGATCAGCTG